ACAAAGATCCGGTCGAGCCACTAGTGATAATAAAAAACAAGTTGAAGTCAAATCTTCATTGATTCATCGTATGATATTCCACTCTGTGTTCAAATTCTCTATTCTGCCCTGAGCACAAGGCAGCCCCATAGCTGGTAGTGCCTGTCTCCTCTCAACTGTCGGCGTTTTATAGGACAGGCATCTGTAAAAGCTACGTAGAGGTTGAGTTAACTCACAAACATCCCACTCTCCCCACCTCTGATATCATCAATTCACAGACACTTACCTTCCTTCCTCCCCCCCCCCCCCCCCCCCCCCCCCCTCTCTTTTATTTTTTTTTTTTTTTTTTTTTTTTTTTTTTTTTTTTTTTTTTTTTTTTTTTTTTTTTTTTTTTTCACCTCTAATATCATCAATTCACAGACACTTACCTTCCTTCCCCCCCCCCCCCCCCCCGCATCCCCCTCCTGTTCTGAAATGTGATTTGTCCTTTTCATATTTGTTCATTTTTTTTAATTGTATCCTTTGGTATATATGGTTGTGACTATTTTCTTCCACTATTTGATCTGAGGAAGTGGGTCTGGCCCATGAAAGCTCATCATCTAATAAACCATCTTGTTAGTCTTTAAAGTGCTACATTGTCCTGCTTTGGCAAATAATGCATTTTAAAAATCTTGGCCTTCTAGGAAATACATTTATATAAGTTTCCATTCCCAGTCACAGCTCTAGTATTCTGGAGCAAAGTCACTAAAATATAGTCCAACAAACAAATGTTTATTTAATGTGCCCCTCATTTTTCCCTCCACCTCACCCCACTCACCGGTGTTGTCCTTGGTCAGTGGAGACTCAGAGTTCAGAGGTGCTTTCACATGAGTACACCTTCCAGGTGGGGGGCAAAAAGACACCTTGCTTATTCTCCAGCTGCTCACTGTTCACGATGGCCACTGTTGCTCATTGTGCCACTGTTCACTCCATCACTCTGTTGCCAAAGGCCCCACGCCGTCACCTTCTGCTGCCACCTGCCCTGTGACCTCTGCGAGTTGGTCTCTTGAGGTTCCACCCAGCTCTCAGTGATTTCAGCTGAGCTCTCAGTGGGGGAACCTCACTGCTAGGTCAGTCTGTGCTGTCTCTTACACAAAGACATTGTCCCCACAAGAACACTGTCCCCACAGCAGACCTGATTATCAGTGATTTCAGCTATAGTGGTCACTTAACAAAACAAAAGACTATGTCACTTAAAACAAAAGATTATGTATGGAGCCTAATCAGCTCTGTCTTTAACCAGTGGAGAGGGGCAGGTTAGATAGTACTTGTGACTCAGACAGACCATCAAGCAAAACACCCTGTCCCCATCCTCTCTCCTGATGCCCTCAATCAGTACAGGTTAAGTACAGTTCTACTGCCCTTTACTCATACAATAAGAACAACAACATTTCACACACACGCATTCAAGTGATTTGTAACCCAACCCCAGCCAAAATCTATCATGTGGGCAACACAGCTCTGTTTGCCGGATACCTAGGTAGATTAGGTGTGAATGTAAATACAATCTGGTCCTGAAACCTTTTCCCCAGCCCATCACTAGCTGTCAGGGAGAGCTCAGTTTGACTTTGCTTACAAATCATCATTTGAAATGATTAGGTTGGCAACATCACCAAAATGAATGCACTGACATTGTCATAAAAACAACAGCTGTATAAGGAAGCTAGTCTATGTTCATACTTTTCAAATGTATTATACTTTTTCAGATACACATATCATACACTGTATATGCTTTTAAAGTGTGTATTAATGTTTCGATTTCAATTCAAATTTCCAAACAATCACTAAATTGGCATGTAACTAGTTCCCAAAACTGGGGAGGGGGGTGTTGGGGAAATTCGGGGGAGGGGGGGATACACCCCCATGGGGAGGGAAGGGAAATCCCTGGTGCCAAGAGCTATGGGGAAATCTTCCTCACTTAGCAAGATTCTTCATTAGTCGACCTGCCCCGTCCCTGTGTGACATAGGGGGCGCCCTGGTTCTCCTGAGGAGCCCAGCTCTCCCATGAGCTCCGAGACCATTGGCAGCTGGTGTAATGCAAAGCAACCCTCGGGCTGCTCTCAGTTACCCTGAGGGACCCGTCTGCACACAGCAGGGTCAGAATCTGGAGAACTCAATGGGCTCCCCTGTACCCCTTCTCCTGAGCTGCTCTGGGCTCTCCGTAGCCAGAATCTCATTGAGGATCGGGGCCAATATGTGTAGTGGAGGATGTTTCACCTTACCGGAAGAGGACTTAGTGCCTACCTGCTCTAACCCCTTACGGAGGAATCCTCTTGCTCTTTGTTTTTATTTCCTACGCATATACCCAGTTAAACAAAGGAAACTGGGCTTCTTCGTGGACAAATCTGTGTGTGCGTGTGTGTGTGTGCGCAATGCGCCATCTTGCCAGCCCACATTGGTGATTTGTAGGTAGGACCATGAACATGATAACAAGTGAAATACTGACTGCCCGTAAAAGGGTTTTAATCCCCTGCGCGGATACCTCCAAGGGGACATTTGTGCAGGACCTGGCGTAGAAACATCAGCCATACGAAGCCGGGAAGCGGTGTGGGCTGCTTAGAACGCTGGAGACGAGGCCTCGGGACCCCGGGGTTATTTTCCTTTCTTCATGGCGAGTGGCAGAGGCGTCGCCGCGTTAGTCTGTAGCTGCAAAAGCAATGGGGAGTCCTGGGCCAGCTTCGAGGGGCCTAGCCCAGGAACCGACCTGTTTATTCAGCTCTCACAAGTGGGTCTTTGCCCACGAAAGCTGATGCCCACATAAATGCGTGAGTCTCTGCAGTGCCACAGGGCTGGGGGTAGGGACGCCTTGTTGTTCTCCCTTTCTTTGTAATCAGGTTCCAGTGTGAGTTTGAGCTTGTCGCTGCACTTCTCTGACTGGTCACTGAACTCAATGAAAATAGTCTCAGTGCTTCACTATGGAGGGGCAGGTGCTTAGTTTCTCTGTCCAATGGGGCTGAGCGTCTTTCAGGCAAAGGCCCTTAAAACTCATGGAAGGCCCCTCTGAATACAGCGGGTTGGGAGCAGCCCCTCGCTCACGCACTGGGGTTAGATCCGCTTTTGCCGAAGAGCAGGATACACATGTGGTTTGCTCCGGCTCCTTCCAGCATCCGCCCCACAGCTGGGCTGCAGGGACAGGCATGGGAAAGCAGCCGTGATGGAAACCGGGCAAACCTTCCCTTCGTCAGGGAGGTGCTGGGCAGCGGACGAGCCTGCGAAGGCAGCTGGGAGATGTGCTGGTGCCTTCATGCCACCCTCTGCCTGTGGGGAACCGTCAATGCCCCAGCCGCCCCCTGAAGCCGAAAATCGCCCAGTGACAGTGGAAGCAGCCTTGCAGTCCCATTGGTGGCAGTGGGGTTTCACTGCTCGCAGGGAGTGTACCCCGCTCCACGCTAATCTCGTCTAATCAGCCTGATCCCCAGCTCTATCCCCACATCCGTGGGAGGAACACCCGGAGCTCCAACAGCACAAACGCAATGCGGGCCTGTCCCCTCTGCCCCGGGAGAAGGCTCTCCAGACACGCTGAGTCTGGCTGCTAAGTCGATCACTCAAATCCCAGACTGGTTCTGTTCCCAGCTGTGTACAGTAATAATAGCACCAGTTGGTTAGCCAGCGGGAGATCACCGTAACGCAGCATTCAGACTGTGCACCGGGGCACGTGGCCAGAACAGGCAGGCACTAAGCCGCCTCTCTACTGCCAGGCAGAAGGAACACCAGAACTTAATTACAGGCAGCAAAAGCTGATTTCTTTAATTAAAAGGACTTTAGTGGTGCCAAACAGATGGCTGATCTCTCCCAGTATTAGGACTAGAGCCCAGAGTATCTGTACAATCCGAAGGGACGTGTAGGAAAAATAAAGGAAACAACTTCATTTTTTTCCCGGGTAATTCATAAAGTGTGGACCTCTCCTGCATGGGGGTCAGACAAGCTCCGCTGGTGCCTCATGGGCTTCCACCGAGCTCTGCCGATTTTCACCAGAGGAGGACGTGGTCCTATACGTTTTTGTGAGCCAGTCAGACCTACTATGCAACCCGGCTGGTCGAGTGTCTGCACTGCCAGGCTGTATTCTGCTCAGTGTCAATCCAGAGTCACTCCACTGGCCTCAGTGAATCTACACCAGCATCCCTGAGCCAGAAACCGGCCTGTTAGGGAGTAGTGGAAAGGAGACGGTCTAAAGAGGAGCCCGCACAAGCAGCAGGAATGGAAGCAGCAGCTCAGCACAATCCTAATGTATCTGGCACACATTGCCTGGCATGGGCCTTTTGTCTCCTGACCAGAGACGGTGGTTCATGGTGAACCCTCCTTTTGTTATGTGTGTCCCGAAAGCCAAGTATCATCAGGGTGGGGTCAGATGTCTAGTGGTTCCTCCTCCAACTAACCCGCACACCAGCCTGAGCCCTGCCGAGGGCCCTGGCAAAACTAACGACCCCCCTTACCCGACACTACTCCCCTCCCGCCGGCACTGAGGCTGTGTATGAAACAATGAGGAGGCAAGAGAACCTGGGAACAGCCAGCAGCCCCACCTCCAAATGGATGATGAGTAGCGCCCCCTGCTGGCATCTTTGGCAATCACCCTTCAGTCACCCTTGGGCAGCGGGCTGGACTTGATGACCTCCTGAGGACTCTTCCAGCTCTAGGATTCTATGACCCTTTGCAAGTCCCCTGTGGAGGGCAGCCCCCCACCTGATAGCTCAGTGTCCCTGACGCTTTGCTGGCCCCCTTCCACACCCGGCTCCTGGTGTGACCTCAGTGGGTAAGAGAGACACAGAGTCCAGAATGGCAACCGGACGTCTCCCGCTGCCACAGAGCCCGGACCTGCCTCTCACTTCAGCCAAGAGCCCCTTAGGCACCACCTCTCCCTTAAGCTCACTTGTGCACTGGCTCTGTGCAAAGACCTCCGCGGAGGGCAAGCCATGGCAGGCGGGACCCCTTAGGCAGAGGCCTCGCAGCAAACAATGGGTTGATGATTAAATATTCATTGGTAGGGTTGCCAGCTCTGCCAGACTGGAAGACTGTACACCAATGCTGAGACACTACACTACACTGGGACTATATCATTATCTAAGAGGGATTTAAAGAATTCAGGTAATGGAGAATCCACCATGGTCCGAGGTAAGTTGCTCCAGTGGTTAATTACCCTCAATATTAAAAATCTGCTCCTTGTTTTTAGTCTAAAATGTATCTAGTCTCAACCTCCAGTCATTGGCCGTTGTTCTGCCATGTCGGTTGCATTAACAAGCACTGTGCTACCACAGGTCTCCCCATGTAGAAATGTATAGACCATGATCAAGTCTTAAACTTCTCTTCGGTAAACTAAATCGACGTAAGGCTCCAGATGGTTCTGGACTTGCTGGTGCTGAGCAAAATCAAAATGTAAGGGGAAAACTGCAGCAGCCAAATGACAGGAATGACCCGATTCAGAGCTAGGCTAACTCGACTGCCTCTGGAATCTGATTCGGGGCAGGGTGCATTCTCCTTCCAAGGAGGCTTCTGACATTATCGGCACTCGAGAAGGGTCTGGCTGCAGATCTCAGCTTTCCCCCTGTGCGGTGATGTTCACCTGCTGGATTTTGGGTGGGGCTGGCCTGTGAACCACGGTCCCCTCCACTCTTTAAAGGGAAGGTTATTAGTGCTGGCATAAATAGCTGCTGCTAGAATCATAGAATCTCAGGGCGGGCAGAGACCTCAGGAGCCATCGAGTCCAGCCCCCTGCCCAAAGCTGGAGTGACCCAACTCAATCATCCCAGCCAGGGCTTTGTCAAGCCGGGCCTTAAAAACCCCTAGGGATGGAGATTCCACCCCCCTTCCTAGGGAACCCAGCCCAGTGCTTCCCCACCCTCCCAGGGAAATAGTTTTTTGTAATATCCAACCTAGACCTCCCCCCTGGTCAGTCAATTCCAAATGGCAGCCTCTCCCGACATGCCTTTATGCATCAAACCTTTCTCCCCCCTCCTGAAGGAGAGACACGTCTCCCTGGGTTTAGGGCTTGACAGTTACGAACATGGCAGCAGAAGGCTGCTGCTCACTGCTGAGGAACCAGCGCCCTTGAGAGCAGTTTGGATTTAATCCTCTTGACCCAGAGGTTCGTGTTTCACTTGAGCCAAATAAACAAGGAGCTGGAGAACCAGATGGAAGCTTTGCCTTCGGGAACAATTTCCACCATTTCTGGCTTGCGTTATTATCGTTTGCTTTCATGTCCCGCCCCACCCCCATCCAATCTGGAATCAGACATTTCTCATGTATTTATTTATGTGCTTTGGATTAAATCAAAAGGCTCCTGCAATGTAGCACCGAGCCATGACATATCAGCCCAGCGAATCAAGATTCCCAAGCTCTCCTGTTGGGGACCCATTTGCTTTCTTTGCTTCTCTGCTCTTGTTTTTCAATTTGGCTGTTTGTGCGCTACGTAAAGCACATGCCCTGCCGTCCGGCAGAACGTGTCCCGCTCTGACACCGCCGTTAGCGTGGAACAATGCTCCGGCGTTGGGTCCTCGCGGGGGTTTTCTGAACCGTTGGGGTGTTTTCGATGGGAAGGGCTTGTCCTTTCCTGTCACACATCATTTCTGTGGCCATGGCTCATTTTTCTCAGCTGTAAGTGGAATTCCCCGAAACTGATAAGTTGTGTTGCTCATCCCCTCCAATGAATGATGCTGCCTTCTTTTCCCCTTCGGGTTCAGTGTAGCCGCAGCCCCCACAACCAACACGTTTTCAAACACGGCATTCTGTAAATCTAATCCAAAGAGCTGACAGTCTTAAAGGCGTTTTCTCCACTCATTCCCATCGTTTTTCCCATCTGTGGAAACATTGACATATTCAACAGCACTGTCCAAATGGCAGGGGGGAAACTGGGAGCCCCCACGCCCCCACCCTCAGCCCGCTTCTGCATCCTACCTCCAGTCCAGAGCCTGCACCTCCAGCCTGCTCCTGTACCCGACCTCCTGCCCCAACCCCACACCTCCCAACCTGTTTTCCAGTAGCTCCCTCCTATGCACTGAACCCCTCATTTTTGGCTCCATCCCAGACCCGAGGGAAGCCCCCAAAATCTATTATCCTCAAGCCCCCAGAGAGTTAACACATTCCTGGAGGGAAGCCCTGAGTCTTGGGCTGGCAAGGGGCTGGCATGAGTGAGCCAAGTGTCTCTTTTTTTCTGCTCATCAGTCAGGGACCACATCTGAGTTGTTTCCCCCCAACCCAAAAAGGTTCCCCACCCCGATTCAGGAAATGTGGGTTCTGTTCCTGACTCTGGCCTGCTGCACAGTTTGGGCAAATCACCTGTCCTAGCTTAGGGATGTACAATCCTGATTACTCAGTTAACCGGTTAAATGGTAGGCTACCCTGACATTTAACCGGTTAACTGACTAAGGGGATCCCGGGTGGGGGACCACTTCAACCCGGCTGGAGCAGCCCCCAGCCCACGGGGATCCCACTCCCAGACCTGCACAGGGCTGGAGGTCCGATTCCCGGCCCCAGCTGCCAGGTGGACGAGGTGGGCTGACCACTGGTGGCCCCTCACAGGCACCAGGCAGAGCTGGAGCAACACTCTACCCACGGCAGGCCACAAGTAGGGGGCTGCTCCTGTGAACCGATTAACTGTGTGATTATAAGTATGATCATTAGAAAGTAAAAGCTGGTCTGAATTAAAACTGCCTTGTAGCATCTGTCGTTGTTTAGCTAGGGTTCCCAAAGTAGCATTCAGGATGCTGGCGCTTAACTCCCTTAGAATCCTTGGAACATCCCAGTCTAGGGTTGCCGGGTGTCCCGTTTTGAACCGGACAGTCCAGTATTTGAGTTTTCTTTCGGGGAAACCAATGGAGAATATAGAAATGTCTGGTATTTTCTAAATAAGATGTAATGTAGACTGTGGTGTAATGTCAAGTGTGTCTAGGATTTTTGCTGAATCTATCTGGCAACCCAATCCCAGTCTTTGGTTTAATTGTTTGTTTTTGCATTTCACAGAGTTTGAAACTGACTAGAAAGAAAACTGGAAACAAAAACCAGTTAGTCAGTTTCATTTTGTAGGTCACATTCCTGCCACTGGCCTATTGTCATTAGGGTAAGGACTGACCTCCAGAAAAACTTGTATTAACTCAAACTAAAACAAAACTTTGGCAACATTTCCACTTGTGTTTGATTTTATGCCTCCCCGCACCTTTGTTATTTAAAAAAAGAAGCTCACCAAAATGGAATTGTATGTCTAAATGGAATGATTGTGTCCTTTTTATTCTGGAATCTGAGCTGTGTTTGCCTAACAAACCAGCCTTTGAAATGATTAAGAATGCTTAGCCTTGCTGCTGCTATCTTTGGCTACCAACTGGGAGGAGAGTTAATTGTATACAGTTGCTTTAACAAAGGCCATATTAGCAATATACGTGGATAAAGCTGGCCTGAGGTCAGATCGTGCAATCTGAAGAGGCTTAGATTCTGGCCAGGAAGCCTCATCAGGTCCCATCGCTGAATTCGTTTAAAAATGCCTCTGCAAGTCTTGGACACTCAGCCAGTTGGGAACCATCATGACGTGACTCCCACTGTGCCAGATCCTTACTGTCTGTGAAACTCCCCTCTTCTCCGGGTTCTTGCATTTTCACTGTTATTTCACGGTCTCTGCACCTGAGCCCAAGAGGACACACGGTGCCTGTTTCTGAACTATGGGACGTTTTCACTGGGCCCTTTTTTGGAGGTGGAAAGAATCAACCTGTGACTCTGTGCTACTTAGCTTTTTGCTTATTAAAAACTAGAGCTAGGGAAATGTAAACAATGGCTCATGAAGGTTTTTTTTCTTGGGTCTAAGCACCTTCCCCTTGGACCCCAGGTGTGATTTAGCCACTGGAGTAACGTACGTCTACACTACGGGAGAAGGTCGAATTAAGCTACCCAACTTCAGCTGTTTTAATGGCCTAGCTGACTTTAACTGACATTTGGCACTGTCCACGCTGCAGGAAGTTGAAGGGAGCACGCTTTCCCTTCGACTTTGCTTTCTCCTCGTGGAAGCAGGACCACTGGCATTGACCGGAGCTCCCCTCTCAGTTCGAATTAGCTGTCTTCACTAGACCCGCTCATTCGAACCCTGGAAGATCGACAGCGGCAGCTTCAATCTTCTTTGTAGAGCGGACCTACCCTGAGAGCAACCTCAGGGCTGTGCCCTGCAGCTGTCCCATAGATCTCACGAGCACAGTGACCATGCCCCCACCAAACACCTCTTGGAGGAGAGGCCTGGAATCGCTGGCACAGAGCCGCCCAGGCCAAATATTCTTCATCGAGGGATCTCCCTACCCGAGGGGAACCCTCATTTCTCCTGTTAGATCATTTTTCTGCCACTTTGTATGCTGGGAGCAAAGATTGTAGCTGGTAAATTATATGAAACACAGGCTTCCTCCATATCTTGCTGAGTCGCTCACCTTTCTGAGGTGTCACTGTATTAATCTTCTTACAGGGTCTGATCATGTCAATGCCAGCCCTGTCCTCCTTGGCACTACAGCAATGAACGATGATGTACGGAGCAAGCAGAAGATAACTCATTGTCCCTTAAGTCAGATTGACCATGAGTGCTGAGAGCAGCAGAAATCAGGGCCTGGAAGAGTTCACAGTGCAAAACTGAAGTGAATTCTCAGAGGCACACCAAAGCCCAGCTGCGTTTTCTGTTCTGTGGTGGGACAGACTGAACTGAGGGGAGAAAACCCTAGGACATGTTATTGTGAGGATACCCAGAGGAGAAATGAAGCAATGTAGGATATTCCCCAATTTGCACTGGGGTACGCGAAAACAGCTATTTGTGTCTTCACCATATAAAATAGGCTGCAAGACCCTAACCCAGAGCAAACAAACCATTTCTTTGGGGGGAAAAAACTACCCAAGAATAAATCCTAAGACTTTCCTTGGGGCGAACCCCCCAGTGAATCGGTTTGTAAAGTAAGTTCCTGCACTCTGGTCATTTTTTTAAACACCTTCCCTTCCCTTTCCACTGGTCCAGTGCCTTTGTAACCCTAATATTTCTGGGTGGGAGTCATCCAGGCAGGAATAAGCTAGACACAGGTGCTGTAAACTCACCGAATTCCTCTGTAGTAACGGCTCCCACTGTCTATGTCCTGAGACTGGGGATTTGCCTGGGTGTTCAG